ACACACACACACACACACACACACACACACACATATATTTTCTTTTTTTTTTCCCCTGTAGAAATGGGGTCTTGCTTTGCTGCCCAGGCAATCCTCCCACCATGGCCTCCCAAAGCACTGGGATTACAGGCGTGAGCTACTCCGCCCAGCCGAAAATACTTTTACATAGTAATAACAGATTAAACAAAACAAAGCAGAATGTAAGAATGTGTTTAAGAGGGTTGCTTTAAAAAACAGCCTTCTTAAATAGACAACTAAAGTATGACCAGAATGAAAAGGAACCAATCACAAGAAAATCTGGAGACAGAAGAATCCGGGCAGAATGCCCAGCTACTATACCAGTGTCGAGGCAGGAATAAGTTTGGTATGTTCAAGAATCAGAAAGAGGGTAACAGAGTTAAGGTATTATGTAGATAACAATAAGGAAAATGGATAATACCAGATGAAGGCAGAAATATATACAGAGGCTAGATCATACAAGGCTTTACAGATCTTGATAAGTGGTTTGGATTTCTCATTCCAAAAATAAGAAGCTACTTCTGGAAGATTTTAATAATCAGATTTTCATTCATAAAACTCTAGCTTCTGGATGGAGAACAGACTGCTGAAAGACAAGAATAGAAACAGGGAGAGCAGGTAGGAGGATATTGAAATTGCCCAGGAAAAAAGATGGTGGTATCTTGAAGCAGGGTATACTACCAGAGATGGAATAAGAGGCTGTAAGAGACAGAATCTGTAACGTTCTAAGGTAGATCACCCAGATTTGCTAGTGGATTGGCTGGGGGAGAGGGAATGGAAAGAGAAGTAAGGGATGCTTCCTGAGACTTTGGCTTAAGCAACAGAAGTCACAACATTTTTGGAACATCATGTCACTCAATCATGACACTTTTTTTTTTTTTTTTGAGGCGGAGTCTCACTCTGTCGCCCATGCTGGAGTGCAGAGGCATGATCTCAGCTCACTGCAACCTCCACCTCTCAGGTTCAAGCAATTCTCTGTCTCAGCCTCCTGAACAGCTGGGACTACAGGCACATGCCACCACACCCAGCTAAGTTTTGTATTTAGCAGAGACGGGGTTCCACCATATTGGTCAGGCTGGTCTCAAACTCCTGACTTCAGGTGATCCACCACCTCAGCTTCCCAAAATGCTGGGATTACAGGCATGAGATACCATGCCCAGCCAATTATGACTTATCTAATAATACAAGATGGGTTGATACATATCCAGCACTACTATTCAGAAGACACTGATGGGATCTAACAGTTTTTATAGTGACACTCTTACATTTGGTCTCTTTATATTATCAACTCACTACAACTAGAATGATCCCAAAATTTTACAGCTCTCTGGATTTTTCTGACTGTCCTAATTTGAAAAAATTACTATGAACAAAAACAAAGGGATTTTTATAAAAATATGCAAAAAAAAAAAAAAAAACCCTGCATTTTAAAATCTCATTGCCACATTAGTTTCTCTATATATTTTACTTACCATAAAGGATTCAAAACTGCACGGCAAGTGGTCCTACTACACAGAACAGGCTCATATTGAATAGGTGGTAAGTCAGGTCTCTCTTTCAGTGGTGTAAACAGGGCTGCCACAGGAACAACCATTCTTGTAGCTTCCAGTCGACTTGATGGCCAAACGTTCCAACTAAATCGGACTCCATCTCGTTCTTCATTTTGTTGAATGAATTCCAAATAGGTTGTCATTGTGGAGTTTGATTCTTATTTCTGTATCGAAATTTTAAAATATTTTAAAATCCAGGATCCTCTTAAGAAGTTTCAAAATAAGTATGTTTTCCCCCTATTCAGCAATATTAACACGTTAGAAATCAGGACTGGCTGGGCACGGTGGCTCACACTTGTAATCCCAGCACTTTGGGAGGCCGAGACAGGTGGATCACCTGAGGTTGGGAGTTGGAGACCAGCATGACCAACAAGAAGAAACCCCATCTCTACTAAAAATACAAAATTAGCCAGGCATGGTGGCGTATGCCTGTAATCCCAGCTACTTGGGAGGCTGA